TTTCCCTCTTCTTTTCCTTTTCTTTGTTTCTCTTCGCCAGAAAGGGGGTGGAGCATGAAATCTGAATAGATTGAAAAGGGGTCCGTATGCTCAAAAAGGTTGGGAACCACTGACACAGCATAATGGGCAGCAAGTTTAAAACCAACACAAGAAAGTACTTCACACTACACACAGTCAACCTAGGGAACTCATTGCCAGTGGATGTTGTCAAGGCCATAGAAAAATAAGATACGTTCATGGAGGTTAAGTCCCTCAACGGCTATTAGCCAAGATCATCAGGGCACAATCTCATGCTCTGGGTGTCTCTAAACCTGACTGCGAGGGGACACTTGATAATTCCCCCATTTTGTTTGCTCCTTCTGAAGCATAGGGCTGTGACTAGTGCTAGAACACAGGATACTGGGCTAGTTGTACCATTGGTCTGATACAGTAAGGCCATTACTGTGTTCTTCTAAAAAGCAGCATGTTTCTCATGAGCGCTCCCTCCACATAAGTGAGAGGCGGCCACTACAAAACAGCCCCCTTTTTGTTACAAGCCTATAGAAGAAAAGAGAACTAGGGAGCTGTTCCTCTTTCCTCTGTCCCCAAATGGAACTACAAAAGGCCACAGAAATAGTGCTTTTTTTATACTGGGTAGGGCAAGATCCAAAATTGGTGCATGCTCCACTTATTTGCTATGCACCTCTGTAACTCTCAGACTGATAATGGGCTTCTTCTCCTCTCACCTTTGTACAACTGGTCAGTTTTTTACCTGAAAAGGCCAACCCAACAGCCAGACCGCTTATGTGACCTTCTGTGGTATATCTGCTATGGATGGCCACACATCTTTCCAATTTAAGAGCCTTAAGAAAACCAGGAATGACCCTGCCTCTCTGCCTTTCCCCTAGCCATGCCACCTGCACTGACAAAAGGAGAAAGGACATCATAAGAGCCAATGCAGTGGTTCTACGCAACCTGAGGATCCCCATATGCTTCAAGATGCTCCTCAGTCAGATAAACCAGCTTTAAAGCAGCTCCATGCCTGTTTTAGAGCAGAACAAAGCCATCCTACCCTAACTCAAGGATTCAAGCCTCTGGTGCTGGAGTAACTGTTTATTGGCATCACTGGAGAAGAAAGAAGCTCAAAGTCTCATTCTCCTTTAGGTAATACTGGTCTGAATCAATTAAGTCAACAGAGCTCCAGTGTAAGAGGAAAATCATCCCCCACCCATTCATTTTTTTTTTTGGTCACATTTTAATGCAATGTTTTGGGTGGCTATGAATTTAGTCTTGTCTGCCCCATTAAAAAAAAAAGAAAAAGCTAGATTCTAGCCTCCACTGTGACTTTTTTCCACCCCTGCATAACAAGTATCTCAGAGGCAGTATGTGTGTGTATATAACAGCCTTCTGATACTAGTACTGAAAGGGACAAGGAAACACCAAGATTCAGTCACTCTTTGAAATGGTCCTCACTTGGGGTCTGATTGGGAGGCATGGCTTAGTGGTTGTAGGGGTACTTGAACAGTCCTGCCTTTACTAAAATAATGTCTGCCTTGCCTAAAGCGCAGATCTCTAACAAATCAAAACCCAGGCTTGTCTTAAGTCTGGTGCATATAAGCATGTAGGCAAGGCTGGGGGGGAGCTTTGGGAAGCAGGAATTTTTTTTGCACAATCATGACCACACCAAGAACATCGGAAGGAACCTTGTACTGGTACATTCTATTTCCGATAAGCAAAAATTCGAGATACAGCCAAAAAACCATTAACTAAGCACATATTTTCTGCAACATCCTGGGCAGCAGGATGTACCCCAAATATGGGCATAATAGGTATCTTAAACAACATGTAATTGATTGGTAGATAGTATTAGAACGACCAAGTCGAGAATAAATATAGATGTAGAAAACAATCAGTGGAAGGGATTGGGTAAGGGAACCCCACCACCTTGCTCACTGAAGTTGTGCCTGTTCCTACTGGCAAATGCATCATAGACACGTCTGAGCGTGGGGAAAGAAAGAGGCCACGACCTTCAGTCTGACAACTGTAAATTGCTAACAGTGGAACGGTGTGTGATTTATAGAAACAAGTACATGCACGTTTAGATACAAGTTAAATATCTTGTGTATTGTCCTAGGTGTAGGTATTGTTATATTGCCTGTGCTACCTATCCCATTTATTGGAATAGATGTATGTCACTCTGCATTGCTTTCCTTTACTATTCTGGGTATAATAAAGTTAGAGAGATAATTTATCCTTGGTGTCTACTGGTTCCTTTTGTAGTTAATATCCCGAACACACGACAGTGGTCAAGGCTGCAACCGGTGACCAGTAGGGCAACTGTTGGAAGGAGAGCCCAGACCTCTCACTCCACTGGCCTGTGCGCTGCATTCCCTGGCTGGAGCCGCTGCTGCGGAATGCCAGGGTGCTGTTCTTTCTTATTGGTATGTGCTATGCAGTTACTGAGGCACAATATCTGCCATTCAGCATCCCAGGTTCATCAGTAATCTCCTGGAACTTCGGAGAGATTACTGATGAACCCGAGAAGCTGAGCGGCAGATGCTGCCTCCTCAGCCACCTCAGAACCTGCATGGCACATATAAAAAAAAAAAATCAGCGTTGTTCCGCTGGGGAAGCAGGTGCCCTGCATTTCCCATTTTCTGGTCAAGGCCAGCCCAGCTCTGGGGCCAGCTGGCTTGCCATGGCTGGGACTGCTTGGATGGGTTGCCTCATGGCTTCTCTAGCAGAAGGGGAAGTGTGTTGGGGCCTCAGGGCTCCTGCCATGGTGGGCAGGGCCTCTTGTGGAAGGTGCAGGGCTATGGGGCTAGCCTCCCTAAAGGGGAGGTCTGCCCACCACACATGCCCTTTGGGCTACCAGTGGTCCACCCTCCATGGGCCATTTCCTATCTTCCCCTCGCTGGGAATAGCTTAGCCCAAGGATTTCCACTGCTGAGGGAGTCCAATTAAATAAAACAGAGGAGATTACCAATGTCCAGGGTCTACCAGCAGTGGGGAATGGGTGAATCCTCTAGGTCCCTTTAGGGCAGTCATGTTGGAGACTTCAGTCTTTCATCTGCTCTGCTGGAGCTGTAGGCTACAGGTCTGTTCTCTTTCAGGTCGGCACCCAATAAGCTGTTTTCCAGGTAATTTAATCCTTCCATCAGATGGATCATTTGCTTCAGGGGTGGTATGGTAGGGTGGGGTTGTCTGGACCCCAAATAAATCCTTTACTCCTTATTGCCTAGTGTGAGATTTGTAAACCCTATTACAACCCAGTTTTATTTATCCTAACAAACCTCATTATTTGATTGCTTTCTTACTAACAAGCAATTTTGATTATTAACTTTAATAAGCAATGGTAGAAATGTAAGTGCTAATCCCCCCCAACCTCCCCCCCAAAAAATCAAACATATTTTATAAAATATTAATTTAAAATCCATTTCGTTTCTCATACAAAAAAATAAATGCAGACATCGGTATCTAAAAACTGAGTGAGTATTCGTGAGTAAGCAGACATTATCTACTTAATGAGACGAAAGCATGTAATTTGATTTGTTTTATTTATTTTATACAATAATCAACCTAATTTTGTTTTATGTGTTTTGCAATCTCAGCGTCTTACTCTTCTGTAGGACCATCTAGCTTAGGTTTGTGGGGAGGGATAGCTCAGTGGTTTCATTGGCCTGCTAAATCCAGGGTTGTGAGTTCAGTCCTTGTGAAGGCCATTTAGGGATTTGGGGCAAATATTTGTCAGGGATGGTCCTTGGTCCTGCTGTGAAGGCAGGGAACTGGACTTGATGACCTTACAAGGTCCCTTCCAGTTCTAGGAGATAGGCAATCTCCATTAATTTTTTTTTTTAAAAAAGGTTCTTCTAGAGCAGCCTTTGCCATCATATCCAAGTAATTCTTGCAAGGTGCCCTTACCTTCCACTGAGTCAGGCCATATATGGCTAGTATTCTAGACCTTGTGATGTTGGGAACACATGGTGCAGGTGAAAATGTTTATCTGATAAAACAGTTTAGCAAAAAAGCCTGCCGGTGTTTTATAATTAATCTAACCCATAATATACATTTCTGCATCTGAGGAGTGCTTACATTTTCCTAGCTGGAAATAGTAGCTGCATGATCTGCAAGGGAAACAGTGTGAAATTAATAAGAGTGCTGAGTAAATGCAGATGGTTTAGAGTTACATACAAAAAGTGGGACTGAAACAACACCTAGCTAAAGCTGTAGTGGTCAGCTAAGGAATGTAAATTTGCCATACTTCCAATAAAATAGGATAATGAGCTCAGATCGCTTAGTGGTTTTATATTTACACCAACTATCAATATTATGATTAGACTAATAAGGAAGGAAGAAATACAGCACTTCTGAAACACTGGGAGGATTGCGTATAATTAACTGAATAGTGGCAAATATCTTGCAGAAGGTGCACTGCATCTCACAGACTCACCCCCCTAATGTGCAATACCACCAAAGAACTACTGCAATAACCTGTATCTCCTGCCCTGGCTGGAAAAAATACACTCTCACTCTCAGGCCCAGAGAGCTGCTGGGGAGGCAGTGGTTTGAGGTCTCTTCAAACACTCGGTATAGATTGGGGGATAATGTACAAGATACAGATTGGGCCTGTGGACTCTGTAGTTATGCTAGACAACAGGAGTGAGGCAACTTTTTTCTATCAAGAGTCATTGACCCACAGGAAAAAAGTCATTCGGGGAGGGGGAAGTTCAGGGTTTCCCCTAAACTCCAAGGTGGGTGCAGAAATGAAGGTTCAGGGTGTGGGAGGAGGGACGGACTCCAGCTGGGGCTGTGGGCTCTGGGGGAAGGTTTGGAATGAGGAATTTGGGGTGCATGAGGAGTTTCCAGGCTGGAGACAAGGGGTTTGGAATGCAGGAGGGGGCTCAGGGCTGGGGCAGGAGGTTGGGTTGTGGGCTCTGGGGCAGGACCAGGGATAGGACATGGATTTGGGGTGCAGGATGAGGTTCAGGCTGCAGACTCCAAGAGGGAGTTTGGGTGCGGGAGATGGCGTAAGGTCTGGGATGGACCCAAGGTGCAGGAGAGGATTCCAACCTGGGGTAGGGGCGTGGATAGGGATGCAGGCTCTGGCTGGGCAGCGCTTACTTCAGGTGGCTCCCAGTCAACAGCATAGCAAGCTGCTCCCTGCTGGCCCTGGCTCCTTTATGGGTCCAGCCCCTGTGCAGTGAGGCCAGGTGGGTCTGCGCAGTGCACACTGACCACGCTTGCAGCTCCCATTAACCAGGGTTCCCAGTCAACCCTAAGATGCAGAGCCTGCCTGGGGGTGGGGGCAGCACATGGAGCTTCTCCGATTGCCCCTCAGCCTAGAGGGTGGGGCCGTAGGGACATGGCCAGTGAGCCAGCACTCGTTGCTTCAGCCTCTTGGAGGGTGCCAAGGCTCAGGGCTTCTGGCCCACGGCACAGAGAATTGCTGCAAGCCAGATCCAAACCACTGCTTCATTTCATCTGGCCCATGGATTCCCTACCCTTGCTGTACCAAATGAAAAGCAGTTCTTGAGGGGGCTAGACAGTCTCCCTGAACACTGTCACACTAGGGCAATTTGAGGCAGGCTAAGGGTGAGGCGGGAAAAGGGACTATGTGGCTTCGATCCTGCTCCATGGCCTTGTACAGAGCGGCATGACCCCGAAGAGAAGATTTGAGGGAGAAGATTTGAGAGAGACTCCAGGGAATTCCTGTGGATGTAAAAAAAAAAAAAAAAAAAACCACACACAATGAAGGTCAGTGCAGCCAAGAGGTTTTCAGGGATATGATCAGGCCGCGTTTAAAGAAGGAACAAACCATGGGCAGGAATGAATAGCTAGGCCATACCACTCACTGTGCCTGCAAAGTTGCTCTGGGAGTTAAGACAGAAAGTAATTTACTGATGAATGTTCCTCTGAATTCTCCTAGAATCATGCAACTGCTAACACCCAATATTTGAATTGTAACCTCTTACTGCAAGTGGTATTTTCTCAATTATGTGCAACTGTATCCTGGAATACAGATCACCTCACTGCCCAAATGCTGCTCTTATCCTTCTGTGCACTGCATGTTTCCAGGTCATTCTTTTTATCAGCTCAGTGTCTACTGCTGTCTATTCACAACTGAATCTGTCTCTTTTGCCAGAGCATAAAGAAAGCACCTTCTCCCTCTGTGCCCTCTTCCTACCTGCCACCATCCTCATTTATATTTAAATCTTTAAAGCAGAGGAACCGTCTGCGGTGTCTATTTCACATCTGATGGTCTGACATTCTAGTGTGCATCCTGAGTAGTTGCCATACTCTATTCAAGTCATTCTCTGTTAGTGCAATATATTTGCTCTTCATAAAACCCTTCCCTCCAAACACCACTTCCCACAGGTACCAGTATCCACCTCCTCACCATCACCAACCATTTCCTGATCCTGACATTACATTTTTCAAGTTTCTTTCCCCTCCTGCTCAAGGCAGTAACTTTGGTCCCTGAAAAGATGCCCTGCCAGCTTGTCAGCAAATCAGACAGTAATAAAGCTACTGCAGCTTTTTGCTAAGGACACTTCTCTCCTGGATTCTGTAAATCCTTTTCCTTTTCACCCTCCCTTTGGTTGCCTTGTATTCCTCTGACCTGCTGTGACTTGCAGTATTTTCTAGTTTTCCATTTCCCTGTCTTCACTTTCTGCTTCCAGCTGCACCCTTGAAATGGGCAGCAATTATTAAAGGAAATCACTTTTCATAGGGGAAAAGATGGCTTTCATCTCTGAACTCCTCCCGCCTCACCACCACACACTCCAAATTCATTTACTGGCTGCAGGAAATTCATCCCTTCCTCACTTTCCTCTCATTCCCAGATGGCAACAATGGTTGTGGGGGATGGAAGGTGAAGGCATTACCTCTCAGGAGCAAGAGTTCCAGAGAGGTTCTATGGCAGTCAGTGGTTTTGGGGATGAGAGCACGGCTAATTGGGAAGGCCAACATGTTTCTGAAAGTATCTCTGTACTCTGTGATGAAACCAATTAAATTGAGCAATTGACTGGCTGAGTTTGAAGGTCATCCTCCTTAAAAAGGGCAAGGCTGGCTACAGGGAGGGGAGTGACGTCACAGTCCCTACTCCAGTGCTATGCAACCAGAGGATCTTGCTTGAGCAGTGCTAATTTTCCCCAGGGTAGTTACATCAGCTTCAGGAACCAATTTACACTGGCACTGTGGCATCAGAGAATTTGGCCCATTCCATTTAAAGACATCTCAGAAGATTGCTACAACAAAGATTGATAAAAACTTCAAAACAGTCCAGGCACAGCAACACCGTTATCACAGCAACTCAGTATTTCCTTTTTACAGCCTTTAGAAAAATGTGTATTCCTAGCGGGTTTTCTTGCTTGTGTTTTGTCCCCCACATTTTCTGTTCCTTGCATTTTTGTGCATCAAACTGATTAAACCACAACTCTGCTCCTCAGTTTATATTGTCCTTTATATTGTCTGCCCCACTTTCACATCTCCGGTTTTATAATGAAAAATTCATCATCCGGCTGCACGTTCCACCTAATGAAGTGAGTGGAATCGGTTTTAATGTGCATTCTTTAGGCACTCCATTAGTCTTCTCCATCACTCCCCAACAACTAGGGTACTTGTGAGTGCTATGTCTTTGAGATCCAGGTGATTCTTTGCCCTCTCAAGTGCCTCTTACTTGTACCACCCATCCATGATGGCTTTGTAGAGGACCAAAGTTTCCTGAAGCAAAAATTACAAAAACTGAAGTCAAAGTAAATCAAGCCCATACCCCGCTGACCCTGGGCTCCATGCGGCGCTGCTGCTTTGAAACGCCACATGCAGCCCCCGCGGGGTCAGCTGGGTCCCCAGGTTGCATGCTGTGTTTCAAAGTGGCAGTGCCGCACAAAGCCTGGGGTCAGCAGGGGAGTCCCCAGCTGATCCCGGGCTCCATGTGGTGGTGCTGCTGCTTTGAAGTACCTCTTCCTCTTCCCTGCCCTTGCTGCCTCTTTCTGATGGGGGGAGGGGAGGAGGGGAGTAGTGACTAGTTGACAAGCCTGTCAACTATTTGATAAGCATTTGCTTATTAGATAGTCAACTAGTCCTTCACATCACTAAAATAATGACTAGTGTTTTCTTTACTACAGAGCAGTGGATTGAAAAGAAGAGATGTCTGGAGTCAAATTTCCACGGCCTTCTGATTTGTTTGCACAAAAAGTGTGCACACATGCAAAGTGCGTAATTAATTAGTCATGCAGTTACCCAATTGTATGCTCAAATACTGCTGTTTTACATGTTTAAGTGGATGCATGCACAAAACTGGGGGGGTCTTTTAAAAATCTAGCTTTTGGGAATCCAGAGGACACTGTTCATTATTCCATATTGTAAGATACTATTTGATGGTGCCTGATTAATTGTATCACTTGGTTCATTTAAAACTGAACTGGACAGAGTATTGTCACAATTATAATGTTCCAGTATTACATGGCAAGGAGATGGACAAGAGGTATTTTCCATTTAATTTCCATAATTCTAAATAAGCTTGTTCTAATAATACATGTTCCTTGTTTTCTTGTAACTTTTCCCAATTAATTTTCTTCCTTTGTTTACATTTGCCAAACCTCACCAATTAATTCTTCCAGTCCAGTGTCTTTAACAGGTGCTTTAAACCGTGCCCACATCTGTCCCCCTCAGCTAGCTAACTTCCATATCTCTCTTGCTATTACTTGTTTTTTTTCTTTTGCTAGATGGAACATACTGTACTGCAAATCTTTTAAAGATTATAAGCTCTCACTCAGCACTTTTCATCTCCCTTTTGTGTGCTTACCTTCCACTATTTACCTCATTTGGTTTCTCTTGGCTTTTTCAAAATTCTTCTGAAATTTGCTATGCTGAAATTCAACTTCCTTATTTGGTCTCATAGCGGTAGTAATTGTAACTCTAATTAGACTGTGATAAATATAGACAGCTCTGCTTACTCTTGACTAATCTTACCCTGTCACTCAACACCTAGATGTATATTTTGAACATATTGTAAGGCAAAGACTTGGTCACGAATTCCATGATTTTAACACGTCTGCAAGGTCTTTGGCTTTAGCTTGGGCTGGAAGGGCTTCGGCTTCTGCACGATTTACTGTTTATTGCCCATGTCTTGGCTGTGGCTTAATAAAAATACTCAAAAGTGCCAAAATCATAGCCTCATGCACAAACCACACAACCTTAGTGGAAATGGTTTCTTCCCTTCATACTTTATTGAAGAAGTATATGTCTGCATTCTTCAAATAGGACATTTCTTAGTTTATTACTCCTAAATCAGATTTCTCACCACATGTGATCTCTATAGGTTGCTCTTTCTTGCCAGACTATCTAAAGTAGGTTCCTTTGATAAATCTATTCTTCTATTATAATAATCTTTCGTTATAGCCAAAAGTATCTAACCTGCAGTGGGCATCTGTTTAGATTTGTACTAGATCGGGGTGGGCAATCATTTTTCACCGGGGGCCACTTCAGAAATTTTTGAAGTGGTCCCAGGCCTCAAGCAGAAGGAGCAGGGCCAGGATACTTCTGTGCTTCCCTGCCCACAGACCCTGAACAGCTGGCAGTTCCCTCCAGGTGCCTGTGCCCCTGGTGGCAGGACAAGACCTTGCGCACTCTCCCCAACCCTAGTTCCTGATTGACCTGAGGGGGAGAGGGAACATGCAAAGCCCAGGGGGCTGTAAGGGGCAGGGCAAAGACTTCACATGCTCCCCCACCCACAGACCAATTAGGGTCTGTGAGTGGGGAAGCACAGAAGTATCCTGGCCCTGGCTCTTCTGCTTGAGGTCCTGCCCTTTCTGGGGAAGCCAAGGGCCACTTCAAAAATTTCGAAAGTAGCCGCCGGTCAAAAATTATTGCCCACCCCGATCTAGATCATCCCTGACAAGTGTTTATCTAAGCTGCTCTTAAATATTTCCAATGATGCCCCCTAGGCAATTTGTTTCAGTGCTTAACCACCCTGACAGGACGTTTTTCCTAATGTCCAACCTAACCTCCTGTGCTGCAATTTAAGCCCATTGCTTCTTGTCCAATCCTCAGAAGTTTAAGTAAAATAATTTTTCTCCCTTCTCATAACATCCTTTTAGGTCATTGAAAGCTGTTATAGGCCTGCTCCATCTTCTTTTTTCCAAACTAAACTAACCCAGTTCTCTCACTCTTCCCTTATAGGTCATGTTTCCTAGACATTTAATCATTTTTGTTACTCTACTCTGTACCTTCTCCAATTTCTCCACATCTTTCCTGAAATGTGTTGCCTAGATGTGGAACAATACTCCAGTTTAGTTAATCAGCTCTGAGTAGAGTGGAAGAATTACTTCTCATGTCTTGCTTACAACACTCCTGTGCACTGAAATTTAATAGGTCTCTCCCAAGTTCCTGCAAAGGATGAAACACAAAACCAAACATGCAGCTAAGACATGGGTGGGCAAAGGGACCGTGACCCACGGATGCACTCCCAATTCCCTGCTCCCAGGCCGATCAGAGCCTGGGGGCAGGAGGGGCGCACAGAGTCTCTTACTCCCTGCCTCCGCCCTGTAAACGCTGGACACCCCTTGCAGGGTGGAGGCAGGGAGCAAGAGACTTTGTGTGCTCCTTCCGCCTCCAGCCCCTGATTGGCCAGGGGTTGAGGGTAGTTTGTGAAGTCTCCTGCCCTGCAAGAGGGTGGGTGCCTAGAGGGAACTGCTCTTCAGAACAGCTGGCAGTTCTCTCTAGGTGGGAGGAGGCCGGGGGCAAAGACTTCAGTGCTCCCCCAATGCCAGGCCAGTCAGGGTCTGTGGGAGGGGGAGCTCGGAAGTGTCCTGGCTCCACCCCTTCCACCAGAGGCCCCCTGTCAAAAATTAGTGAAGTGGCCCCCTGTCAAAAATTATTGCACACCTGTGATAGTTTAAGGCCCCATTCCTGCAACTTACCCTTCACTCTGGGCTGTCTCCCTTTCAGTCAAATCAGCACAGTTGTGCCCCGTGGTGGTACTGCCAGGAGTTGGTTGACTCTCAGCTTTACTCTGTGACCCCTTCAAGTTGGGTCACAGAGAAAAAAATGACTTAAGAACTTCAAGAAGCATCAGAGTCAGCAACTTCAACTGTATAAATGAAACAGAACATGACATAAATGTATATCCACCTTGTTTCCCACTGAGTCCTAATCCCGTTGGCTGTGTCTACACTGGCATGAATTTCCGGAAATGCTTAAAATGGAATACTATTCCGTTTTCAGTTTTTCCAGAAAAGGAGCGTCTACACTGGCAGGCTGCTTTTCTGGAAAAGCCCTTTTTCCGGAAAAGCGTCTGGCCAATGTAGATGTGCTTTTCCGGAAAAGAGCCCCGATCGCCATTTTCGCGATCGGGGCTTTTTTCCGGAAAAGACTACTGGGCTGTCTACACTGGCCCTTTTCCGGAACAGTGTTCCGGAATAAGGACTTATGCCCGAGCGGGAGCAGAATAGTTTTTCCGGAAAAGCAGCTGATTTCTTACAGTAGATCGTCAGTGCTTTTCCGGAAATTCAAGGGGCCAGTGTAGACACAGCCCTACTGTGCCTCCCTTCTTGGTGTGATCTACTAGCTTTGCAGATCTTTTGGAGATGGCAATCAAGCAGGCAAGTGGGTTTTTTTCTAACTTCAGTCTCCACATGGAATCAAAATTGGGTCCTGGCTCATGAATCATCAGGAAAACTCAGCAAGCCAAATGCTGCCCCACTGTCCTCCCAATAAGTTGTTTTCAGCAACACCTGTGTAATTCTTCAGTGGGAGCATAATCTGAAGTCAGCTTGGACTGCACAGATGGCCCTGCAATAAAGCAGAAGCAGAACAGAACCCAACACACTCTCCCCACTCGGCTGTGTTGTGTCCCCAGGAAAGACCATAGCAAAAATTTACTTTTGTCATTAAATAAGCACATATGGCTCAGCATGCGTACAGCAAGCAGACTTGTGAAGCCAGACGGTGCCATTTTTACACAGTCACTTTTCAGAGTAAAACTACCATATGTTATTCACTTATCTGCTCTCTGGCAGCATTTTTGTACCTACGTTCTTTTCCTCTGCCCATTACCTAATTTTTTCCTGCAACAATTACCTGTCCTTTGCAGACGTTTACGTGCAGTCTAATCTGTATCATTTCACAGGGTGCAAAAAGATTTCCAGGTGTTTATACCTCAAACATAAGCATTTTTTCAGCCAGACATTTCAGTTTTTAAATCTTTCCTTAGCTCTACTTTACCGTGAATCTTTGTGGCAACACTAAGCAAAATACTCCAGGAACTTGGTGTTTTTCTCTTAATTTCTGACCCTATGTTTGAAGATTATTCTTTACCTCTCTCATTCAAAATTAGGTTCTAACCTACAACAGTGGCTCCCAACCTTTTCCAGTATGTGGACCCCTTTTTAATCTATTAACGTTTACAGACACTCCCCCCAAAAACAATATAGCTGTGCCTGCAGCCTGCACGTCCCTCAGCCCACACTGCTTCCTCAGCCGCATCCCTCAGGCCACTGGGGAAGCAGCGCAGATTGAAGGATGTACTAGCTGTGAGAGGCTCTGTGCAGACGCCTTACAATACTGCTGTGGACCCCCAAGGGTCCATGGTCCACAGGCTGGGAACCACTAATCTAGAACATGGTTAGTGACTTTCAGGAAGGGTGTCCATCTGCAATAGCAGTTGTCATATTGCACTGTTTTACAAACTTAAGCTCCAAACCTAGAAGGACTGATGTACATCAGTATCCCCATCAAAGCGATAATTTAGACCTGCATCTTTTAAAGCTAGGGATGTAAAAATGCAATAACCGTGTAACTGCTAAAAATCATAGCGGTTACATGTGCTGCGGGCTCAGCAGTGCAGAGTGTAACCTGGGGTAGGAGGGTATAAGCGACTAGTCGACTATCCAATAAGCATATGCTTATCGGGTAGTTGAGTCATGACTCGACTAGTTGCATCCTCCCCCCCCCATGCTGCCTCTATCAGAGAGAGGGGGGAGGAGCAGGAGCCAGTGCTGGGGGGGTTGAAGCCCCAAGTGCCAGCAGCCCCTCTCTCCCCCACTGTGGGGCTGAAGCCCCGAGTGTCAGTAGCCCCTCTCGGAGCCCCAGCTGCTCCAGCCCCTACTGCTTAACCAGAACCAGTAAGCCTTAAAAGCCGGTTCCCCCAGCACCATCTCCGCGGGGGTGAGGGGGCGGGGTAAGGGGGGGAGAAGAGAGGCAGAGGCGTAGCAGGGGGCCACCAGGCTCTTAATGCATTTTAAATGCAGAGCCGCAGCAGGGTTAGCTCCTGGGGCCGGGAGCGAACCCCGTTGCAGCTCTGCAGTTGCCTTCCTTATCAATTAGTCAAGTAGTAGTCAACGGAAATTCCATCGACTACTCAATTAGCTGATTAAACACAATTTAACATTCTTAACCTGGTAGACGGGGAGAAGCAGCCAGCCTGCCACAGACAGGGGCTTCTCTGGCGGGCCCCGTGAGGCTGGAGCAGCCCTTTGCCCCGGGCGGGCCGACAGCTGCTCCAGCCCCTACTGCTTAACCAGAACCAATAAGCCTCACCTGTTAAGGGTGAGGCTTACCAGTTAACCTTTTACATCCCTATTTAAAACCTTGTATAAAATCAAGCATGTGGAAAAATCTTTAGCGTATCCAGGCCTAATCCCATCCATTTTAGAACACCAATCTCTCCGAATTTTAAAAAGAAAAAGAGAAAGAACCAACATAGCCCCACAACAGCCTCTTTCCCAGTGAAAGGGCATGCATCTGACCAAGTGGGTCTTTGCCCATGAAAGCTTATGCTCCAATAAATCTGTTAGTCTATCAGGTGCCACAGGACTTCTCGTTATTCTTGCAGATTCAGACTAACATGGCTACCCCTCTGGTACTTTCCCAGTGAAAATAGCCAGTCAGTTAAAAGTGCCTTGCACGTAGAGGAAAAAAAATGGGGTTGTGCCCTCATTGCTTCTTTGTAGCATTTAAAAATTGAGGGTCTTTGCAACATTTTTTTTCTTGGATTTCTACCTTAAAAATAACAGGAATGTCAAGTTTAATCTTCCCTCTTCTTGCTGGAGGACTCCTCAGCTGGCCAAGAAACAGGAGTGGGAACTTCTCTGCCCTTAAGGGGTAGGATAGCATATCTTTCACAAACCCTTTACTCCTAGGTCTTTGGCAAAGGTTTGAACTAAATACATGTTTTAACTAATCCAAATAAAAATCCTTTTTTATAGCCCTTAGATAAGTGAAAAACCAAACAAAAATTTAGGAACAATTAAAATAAGGCATAACATAATTTTTCCCCTTTGCAAAATTCTTTAAATCTCTACTGTCATCACAGGATCAGCACCAGCTGTAGCCAGCTAAACTAAACACTTAAGGTTTTTAGGTGCTATTAAGAGACATACCCACATAAACACATATCCTTACAAAGGAAAGTCTTAGCACTAATATGTAAAAAAAGCACAGTTTTAGCAATCTCTACGGCTACTAGATTGTTTACTTGGAAGAAGCATTCATGGTACATATGACCAAAAGCACAGATGGGAAATAAAAAACAGCAGCAAAGCACATATTATTTCTACAGTTACAAAAGCAATTCATACAACTGTACTAACACCACCACATAAGATTTAAACAGGCAGACAGCCTGCTGGTAGAACAGAAATGTAATACAGGTTGATAAACAGCAGAACACATTTTTTAAAAATCTTATTCATTACATATAACTGCACAAAGCCACTTGTTGCTGGCGTGTACTTCACCACTCATTAGGTAAATGGTTCCAGATTCATAAAGTGAAATTAACATTATAACATTGCTATGTCCATATGTATTTGTTATTTTTTCCCCTCTCACTACATCAGAAGAGATGCTGACACACATCCAGACACTACTTCCAAGACTTTTTTGAGCACCATTTATTGAAAAAATGTGGTGGGTGCATCTCTGGCTGTCCTCCACCCCAATCAACCTGGAGAACTTTGGAACAAATGGCCAGGCACCTCGTACGGATATCCTTATGGTTGTAAAGTGTCTTTTGCTGATCTTGTCATATTTGTCAGTATCCTTTGATATCACCATTGCAAGGGCTTGTCAAATCAACTGCTGTGGGAATGGATTGAAACTAGAGTCTTTGGATTGGTTTCACACTTACTATGCACATTACTGTCATATGTAAGGCAACAGAGAATCAGGCCCTACACTGGCATAGCTTAGAGATACACTTCCAATAAAGGGGCACTCAATACCCTCAGTTAACACTCATCTGCACTGACATACATCTGGTTTGCTCTCATCTGCATCCCTAGGACATGCCCCTTTTAGTATCTCAGTAACATCCTGCATATAGGAAGGCTGGTCAAGGAGCATTTAAAGGCTGGGCACTGACTGTGAAATAGTGTTTATTTTAGAGTTATCACCCTATTATCTGAGCACCTAGGACTCTGACTTATTTGATACAGACATTTAAACTGGGAAGTCAGTATGATAAGTTCCAAAAAATGCATTGCTCAACCACGCGAAGACGGGTGATAATATAAATATTTAAATTAATAGCATTCAAGTCTATGAAAATGTTGCATTAAAACTAATGGTGGGTGCATGTTCTATCTGTTTTCCTAGGGTGGAATTCATCCCTATGCACAGGACCAGCATGATCCCTATTTCAGGAACTATGCAGAACATTCTATAGGTGTTCAGGCCTAGTTCTTGCCTCTGTTCCAGGGCAAATGTCAGCCCCTTAGATTGTTCTATGAGAAGGGTGAATATATAGGGTTGCCAATTTTCTAAACACCCCTCTCACACCCCTTCCCTGAGGCCCTGCCTCTTCTGAGGACCAGTCCCCTGTTTGCTCTTCCCCACCCTATTCATCAGGCTGCTGCTGTCACTGAGGAAGAAGTCCCCCAGCCAGGCAGCTTGGTAAATGGAGACATGAGCACCTGGCTGGGCAGGGATCATTAAGCAGCGGCGGGGCTGAACTGCTGTGAAGCTTAGAGGGAACACTGGCCAGGGAGTTAGGGTGCAGGATCCCAGTGGAGTGTACTGTGACTCTCAGGAAGCAGCCACCACGTGGAGCCCGGGGTCTGCCGCCTTGAAATGCTGCATG